TTATTGTAGAGATGAGTTCTCACTGCCCAGGCGGGTCTCGAACCCACGGGCTCAGGCAATCCACTCACCTCAGCCTCCCAAAGGCGCGGGATTACAGGCTGAGCCACCGAGCCCGGCATATATTCAATATTTTTAAATGACATTCTTTTTTCATACTAACTCTTCAAAATCCGTGTATTTTACGCCTACAGCACATCTCAATCCAGACGAGCCACATTTCAAATACTCAGTAGCCCCACGTGGCCATGGCTGCATACTGGAGGGTGTAGTCTAGGTGACCACTCAGCTGACTCTGGCCCCTGACAGGCCTTCAGAGAACCGGCACATTTCATCTGTCCTGGAGGAGCTCCATCCCTTCCAGGCAGGTTTACATGGGATTCGGTCAGGTCAGAGGACAAAGAAGCCAGGTCCATTCTAACTGCATTCTTTTATCGTAATCGTGGCGGCCAGCGATTACAAGGGGAAGGGGTCTCTGCACGGAGGTTTGTCTGCTTTTAAGTGGACCCACACAATAGGAGTGTGCAGCCAGACTGTGCTATGCTTAACGAGGTACATTAGTTTGTTTAGTCATAAGTTCTAGTGAGCCAAGGTCGAAGGGAGCTCTATCTAGTTTTGGCCCAGTGAGAAAGCCAGACTGATTGCAATTACCTCACACTGTCACACCCAGAACCCACCTTTCCAGCTTTGGTTCACCAATCAGGTATAGAACTCTAGACTGGGCAAGTCATTTTACCCTGTGAAGTATAAAATGAGGGCAATTAGGCTGGCGTGGAGGCTCACGCCTGTCATCCCAGAACTTTGGGAGGCTGAGGTGAGTGGGTTGCCTGAGCCTGGGTTCCAGACCAGCCTGGGCAACTTGGCGAGACCTCGTCTCTACAATAAATCAAAAAATTAGCCAGGCCCAGTGGCTCACTCCTATAATCCCAGCACTTTGAGAACTGGAGGCGAGAGGATTGCCTGAGCCCAGGATTTTAAGACCAGCCTGGACAACTTGGCAAGACCTTGTCACTACAATAAATAAAAAAATTAGCCGGGCGTGGTGGTTCCAGCTACATAGAAGGCTGAGGCGGAGGGATTGCCTGAGTTCAGCAGGTTGAGGCTGCAGTAGCCATGAGCGTGTCACTGCACTCCAGCCTGGGCGACAGAGTGTGACTCCAACTCAAAAAAAAAGAGGACAATAAAAATACTTCTGGGGTTGGAGCAAAGATTTGGTGAGCAAATACATGCAAAGGGCTTAGTGCACGTGCCTGGCAGAGAATAACCATTCCATAAGTGGTGACCTAATAAATCTAAGCTCTAGCTCGATTTTCAGCACAGCGATGGCTAATTTTATGTGTCGGGTTGGCTAGGCTATGGTCAGACATCAGTCTAGAAGTTGCCATGAAGGTATTTTTCAGATGTGATAGACATTTAAATCAGTCAGCTTCACAGTGTGGGTGGGCCTCATCCAATCAGTTGAAGGTCACAAGAGCAAAGACTGAGGTTTCCCAAAGAAGCAGCAATTTTGCCTCAAATCTGCCCCGTAGAATCCCCGCCTGAGCTTCCAGCCTGCAGATCTCAGACTCAAGACGACCCCATTGCTTCTTCCTGCATGTCTGACACATTTCAGACTTGCCAGACCCACAGTCATGTGAGCCAATCTCTTAAAATAAACCTCTCTCTCTCTCCATATATAAATGTACCCCCACATGGAGCATGACCACAGCGGAGTGTAAAACAGACAGTTTCCTCATTCTGCACTCTTGCAGTATTAGAACAATGACACATACCAGCCAAGTGAAACATCTCCTAAGGCTGAGGCAGAAGGGGGACCCAGTGCCCCCAACCCAGACACCCCTCCCGAGGACCAGTTTTGCTGGGGTCAGGCCTGAGGGTCTCCGTGGTTGCAGTCAGGGGGTGGGGAGGTCCCTGGGCACAGAGGGACCGCTTTGGGGATGGACAGTTCAGGCCCTGTTCCCTCACACTCAGGTCTCCTGCCAGAATTCCTGTCGAATTCAGCTGCCCACAGCAGCCAGAGGGATTTTCCTAAAGCACACATCGTGTCACTGCCACATTCCAGAGTCCTTCCGAGGCTTTCCCGTGACCTTAAGATAAAGCCCCAAAGCCTGGCCCACAACTGATGAGGCTCTGTGTGACCTGGCTGCAGCCAGGTCAGCCTCACACCTTGGAGGCTGTGTCATCAGAAGTCCACCCGTGTTCATAAAAACTGAAAATAATGCATAGGTGCACAGATAATAGCTCCCATCTCTTGGGACTTGGGTCTGTGCTGGGCTATGATGCACAGAGATGTTTACATCAGCATATTATTCCTTGTAGCCAGGTAGGCTGGGTGTTGCTAACATCACCTTTACGGAGGAAGAAACAGGCCCAGAGAGGTCCCCAGCTGGGGCGGGCAGAGCCGTACTTGACCCCAGGTCTGCCAAATCCAACGGCCATGCTCTTCCCCGCCAGCCTGGTTGATGCCTCTGTGCAAATTGGAGATAATAATAGCTCCCACCTCACAGGGCTGTTGCAAGGATTAAGTGGGCTGAGACGTGTGAAACCTCTGAGCTGCTCCTGGCACAGCGCAGGGCCCGAGAAGTGTGGCCACCCATAGCAGGGGCGTGCCCCTCTGGGCAGCCCTGCAACCACACTCAAAATCATGCACAGTGATCTCTGGTCCTAGGGTCATGGGTGATCCCATATTTTTATAGTTGTCCACAGTGGATCATATTTTTAAATGTTTTCCCACAATGGCCAGGTATTATTTGAGTGTTTCTTTTTCGGTTCTTGCATGTATGGTGCCCTTGGTGAGCTGTCAGACTCCTCAAGGCAGGGCTGTCAATGCTGGGGTGGCGTACCAGGTTTCCCCAAGACCTGGCCCAGAGAGAGCCCCAGGAAAGAGTCCTAGCAGGAGACAGCTGAGAAGAGTTCCACTGCCACCCCCTCCCCACCCAGCCCAGGCAATCTGTCCACAGGCTTGGCAGGGGTGGACATCGGAGGGGTGGAAGCCGGTCAGTGTCAGGAACTGGCCCCAGCCAAGTCAGTCTTTTACTGGCATTCCCCAAAAGGCACCATGAGATGAATCATGGCTCTTCCGGATCCCAAGGGGGCGGTGGGAGCAGCCGTGATGCTTGAGACCTCCGGCCCTGAATCCACCAACAGCTGTGACCACTTCAGCTATTTTAAACCCTTGAGCACCAGGAAACTCCTGTCCCATCAACCAGGCACTGGGCCCAACATCGTGGGCCCAAGCCAGGGCAGGAGCCCTGAGTGTGGGTGACCAGGTTCGGGCTAGATTGTTTCAGGGAAGGGGGTTTCATTTCTTGGGTACCCGCCTGTGCCAGGCTCTGTGCTGGTGTTTTACATGCCTCATATAATCTCATTCTAACCCTTTGCAGAGAGATAGGCTATCACAGATGCGAGAATGTGCTCCGAATAGCACCATGACCGGTCCCAGAAGGCACAAAAGCAGAGATGAGACTAGAACTTCGATCTCCTCAGCCAGAAGCAGGAACAACACTCCTCTTCCCTCCCCAGCCTTGTCCTGCCTCCTCCTCGTGGTCCAAACCCTGGCCCTGCCCCTCTTGGGATCTAGGAGACAGGGGTAGAGGCTTCAACTTCGGCGGCTCAGGTTCTTCATCTGTAAAGTGGCGGGGTGACTGGGAGGGTACAATGATCTGATTCTAAGCCATGAAAGGCGCCGCTTGGAACAGAGCCTGGCCCACAGAAGGAACACGGTGAGTGCCCGCTGGTGTTCCTGCTTTCCGGGCACTCGCCGCCGGCTGCCTGATGTTATCGCGCCCCAGCTCCTGTTAGGACCCGCCTGGGCCTGGGTAGGAGGGGGTGCGTGTCCTCCACCCCCTCTGGGCCCGGTGTCCCTGGGGTGAAAAGGAGCCCCGGGAAGGTGGGAACCCTGGCCCATGCCCAGTGTCTGCCGCACAGTAAGGGCCAGAAGTCACTCCCAGCGGAGGGGCGCCCGGACATCAGCCCACCCCTGGAGGCACCTCGCCATCACTCCGAGCTGCAAAACTTTTTTTCCCACGTTGGCAGGTGGCCACCGCGAGCTGCCTCCTGATTGGAGGGGGACGCCAGGAGCCAATCAAAAGTCTCCCCGTAGCTCGGTCTCTGCGCCTTGCGGGGGCAAATGTCCCCCTGGCCTGGACTGGGGCTTTCCCCCTTCCCCACCCACATTCCTCCCAGATCCCTGTGGCCCGGAGCAGCTGGGCTCTTCACCACCTCCTAATTTGGGCGACCTGGGGAGGAGGTTGGAGTGGGAGGCTGGGCGACCCTCTTGCCCAGAGGTGCCCCTTCCTGAGGCTCCTCCTCCCCCGCCCTACGCCTCCCCTCTCACGGCCTCACGCACCCACCCTCCAGATCCTGCCGCCACCTACCAAAGACCACTCCCTCACACCTGGCTGAATGATCCCAACAGCCATTCCCTCGGGTCAGAGGGGAAGGGCTGGCTCAGGGCCCCCTCGCTGTCACCCTGCACCTGAGCCTCCCCGGGCCACACATGCCCTCTGCGGTGGTGCCCCCTTCACTCAGTGGTCCAGGCCCAAGCCGGGCTCTAACTCCTGTCCCCTCCCTCTCCCTCAGCCCGCACATCCTGTCGGTCACCAGGTGCCACCCAAACTCCAGTCCGTGAGCACGGGTCACATCAATACCCTCCTCTCCAGCCCTCCTGCGCTGCCCCGGCCAGGGTCTTCAGGGCTCCTCCCCAGCCCAGCTTCGTGTCCGGGACAGCCAGGATGACCCATTTCACCAGCACGCCTGACCCCTCCTTGAGGAAGCCCTCCCAGGCTCCATCACCCACCCACCAACACCTCTGCCGGCATCCTGGCCCCTGTCAGCGGCTGGGTTCCCCATTCCACCCTCCCCGCGTTCCCCAGGGTAATGTCCATCTGGCTGTTGAGGGTGGGGTTATCAGGCGGTACCCAGCTTCCGGGCTTTGCTTGGACGGCTCCCTCGCCTCCCCTTTAGTTTGCAAACGCCTCCCCTCCTCCGGGAAGCCTTCCCGCCCCCAAGTTGGGTTCAGGCAGCCCCTCGGTGCTCCCGCGTTTGCACTTTCGCCTCCACTGGGCTGGGGCGCCCGCCCTG